TTCCAGATTATAATACAAATCTCTTAATTCTAATCAGAAATGAAAAATACCAAACAAATTATATAGACAATATTTCTGACTATATGACACCACTACACATCAGATCATGTAGGCATTAATTTTGAAGATCTTTTAAGTATTACTCTAATTATTTTTCCACCTAACTAAAAAAATTTCTGAATTAGATATAAGGCCTTTTGAAATTAAACTCTTGATTATTAACATATCCTATAATATTTTTTTTACTAATCTAGACATTTAAAATCAAATAATTAAAATAAAACTGATCATTCTTGTGTGATTTAGCATAACTTACTGGTTCGCTGAAGAAAAGCTATCTCAAAATGTTACTGCAACAGCATTAGCAATAGAGTGTGTCCAGGATACTGATTTAGTGTGTGTTAATGTAATGTAAAAATAACTACAAAATATTTTTAATATGTGAGGTAATATTACATTATTAATTCTCTTTTATAAATAATTTTAGACTAATGAAAGTCTTGAACAAAACAAGAAAAATATACTTGAAGAACGGCCAGAGAATGATGAATGTTTTTCCAAAGTCACCGAAAATTTAACTGAAAATCAATCAAAAAGTGCTCATGATTCATATGTATTAGTAAACATAAATGAGGAAAACTCTCACAAAAGAATTCAAGAAAATTCCAACATAATGCGAGTAAATATTACAGCATTTTTTTTGCGGTGCTGTGATAAATGTACAGTGAGTATGCTCATGGTATTGATTTAACAGATCATAATTTAATTATATAGCTGCTAAAGTGTAATTATCAATGTACTGATCATTGACTGTAATTTTTTATTAAAGAAACAATATTCAGATATTAGTTAAATGTTAGAATATGCTTTTATTTTTGTAATTGAATCAATATTTTAATTTAGCTATTTTTGGATGGGGCTCGAGCATTTGATCAAGTCTGATACCAGGTTTTTCTTTTATAACTCAAGACGGTAACACCACACACATAGTTCTTTATCATGCAATCCTTGCTTTCTGATAGACTTTTCTATGGGGTCATTTTGATCTCAAGGTGTACATTACTAACCCACACAACATACCAGACAGTCTCAACAACCTGAAAGTGAACAGACAACACTAAAATAATAAGACACCAAGATCCTATTCACACCTAATGCTACAACAACTCAAATATAAACTACATGATTAGAATGAGTTAAAGAAAATACAATTAAACTACAACATATACCAACACTTCACATTTACATTAAAATATGAAACTTGTCCTCCAGTATACCTTGATAACATGTCAATACTCGTGTGGACACTATGAACTAGATAGTTAATTATTGAATTAACTCTATTCAGTTAACTATATGTTATGGCAATAATATAATGCCTAATGTATGAAAGGAAACTGACTTACGGTCAACAAATTAGGAAAAAAATTATGATGAATCATAAAAGTAAACTGTCGAAAAAGTTATTCAGATGATAATCAAAATAAAAGTTAAAACAGAAACATGCATATATTTAAGACTTAAACTTCTTTATCTTACTTATACATAAAAAATCTTACTTAAACCAATTATTTAAACAGTACAGTTCCAATCTATAAGATTTAAGACTTATTACACAAGTGCCTCGGTATGTTTCATAATACTGAATCACTTACCCATGTCAACTATTAGCGAACACATAGGGACTCACTAAAAGAAAATTCATGGAAATTTGCAATGACATTACCAGCATACTTGACATCATGAGGATGCTAAAAGGCAATGGATGAGAGACCTCTAACTTTCTCTTATCTATAATAATGGCACAGAAGAAATAATGATAGGTATTACTACTTTCTCGTGTCTGGAAATACCATTATTGCTGATTTCGACAGGCGATCCACTGCCTATTAATCTTTTAGCAATGACGAGTAGGAAGGGTGGAGTGTTGAACTACTTTTGAGGACAAAATAATTTTCATTTCATGAACTCTACTGGCCACTTATGCGTTTTTATTTAATGTACCGTTCAAAAATGCCCATAATCTCCAGCCACAAAAACATTACTTACTGCCTCATGGGAAGGCCACATGATAGTTTAAAAGTAGAATTAATCATTAAGTCGTTTAAAGAGAAAGAGTCCGACATGCACCCAACTCAGCTCTGAGTCCACCCTCACCCTATTCTGTCTTGACTCATATATGAGTCCAAAATCATTAAAGGAATAATATTGTTAGACAGTAGTGGATACATAAATAAAGTTTTAAAAAAAAAAATTATACATTTTCAATGTCTCTCTTGTTTCTTCTCATCGGTATTAATTTTATACAATCAGAATAAAACTAGACCAATAAGCATTTATCTCTTGTTTTTTTATTAATTCATAATGAAAGCTTATAATGGATCAAACAACAAGAAATAATTTTAAGAAACATAATATTACCAATACTTGATTAATCCTTGATAATCATTTTCTCATTTTATAGCAGGGTTTCTGAAGCTGAAGATTACTATCTTCTCCATCGAAGATGTGCAGAAGAAATCAAGAGAAGATATGATGAAGCTGCAAAGGAGTATAACTAGCAATAAATATAATATTGCCAAATGTTAATTGTTCCATAAGTTAGTAATAACTGCACCTGTAAATATTGTAAATATAAAATCAATGAGATATCAAAGTTAAATTTATTAACCCATTTTCACCACCTGTTATCTAATTTTATAATCTGTTTATACTAAACCGAAGAGAGTGCAACCTTATTTGGTACTTTAGGAGTGGGAGAGGAGGCACAAATCCAAAAAGGTTGAAAAACTCTGACTTACATTGTAGAAAGTGTTAATTTTTTGAGACAATATATTTTTGATAATAATACATTTAAATCTACAGTGCAGTCTCGGTAATCTGCCCTGCAATTTTCCAAATTCTGGCTACTATTATTTATTTCAAATTAACAAATTAAGGGCTGGACTGTTTTTCAGTTAATTTTTAGGATCACTATTTTTTTTTTTTTTAATGAGACCATAATGGTTCTGTCTAAAAGAAGTGATTTTTCTTAATTAGTGAGATCAATATTATTAAATTATTTTTTGTTTATTTTTCTTTTCTATTTATTTTCTGATTTATTTATTAATATATATTAAAATAAAAACATTGACGATAGAAATTGTTTTAAATAATGTACTTATGTTTATAATTATAGTACAGAGAAGATTCCTAGAAGCCTGTAATACATAAATTATTCTCAAAATCTCATTTTTCATATCATCATGTTTTAATAAAAATGAAATTGCTTAAAATGTATTTATGTGAAAGAAACAATTAAATCTGTCATAGTTTTTTTTTTATATAAGTATATAACAAATACTTTTATATAAATATAATATAATATAATAATAATTATAAATAATAATAAAAGGCTTAGCGAACCCGAACGTTCGATGCCGACACCACCAATCGCTTATTACACACCTCCCTCCACCGTTCGCCGTCCAAACCCAGTCCCTTCAGATCGGTTTTAATGCAATCTTCCCACATTCCCTTCGGTCTACTCCTCGGACGTTTACCATTCAGTACAGCAAATATTAACCTTTTAGAAATTCTCTCGTTTCTAAGTCCAACAATTTTACAAGCCCATTTGAAACTCCAGCTTCCCCGCATGCCTTAATTAGTTCAGTAGGAATATTATCGGTTCCTGCTGCTTTATAAGATTTTAATTTTCCGATAGCTACTTCAACTTCCTCTTTACTTGGTCCTTCTATCAATGGTTCAGCACTCTGGTACCCAGAAGGAGGACACAGATCATAATTTCCCGTTTTTAAAATATTGTCAAAGTGGTTCTTAAACTTATTTAATATCAGTCAGAATATTGTTATTTTCATCCCTAATTCCAGATGTTATGGGCCCTAAACCTTTACGTGATCTGTTTATACCTTTGTACATTTCTCTTACGTTATTTTCGATTCTATTAGTTTCTAATAATATAATATATATATAAACAAACACTTCAGCGCACCCACAGTCATAAGCGGGTATTTTAAACAGATTAAGGATGATATGGACCAAGTGGGGCTAAGAGACCAAGATTGTTTAGACAGAGATGAGTACAGGAAGGCGCTCAAGAGAATAACGGTTCTTGCGGGAAAGAAGCACTCCAAAAAGAGTGTTGTGTGGTCTGAGGAGAGAAAACGTAAGCACGTGGAGCTCATGAGGAGCATATGGGAGAAGAGGAGGCAGATGAAGAGGAAGTGTTAACTTTGTGGTATTTGCGTGGTCTTTAAGGCCTGTTCGTGAAAAAAACAAAAACAAAAAAAAACACTTCATAACTTTTTTAAATTTATTATCTAAATATATGTTATTTTTCTATTAAACCGATGTTAGGTATATACTGCATTCAAAAATATAATTCCCTTTGAAAAACAATTGAAGAGTGTACATAATAACTATATTTTTTGGTATCACTTCCTGAAAATATAATTTTTGTTTTGTAAAAATAGTTCCTTTTGGTAAATGAATTTTCATCAAAGATTAGGATATTAATTAGTCCTACTCCTATTTAATTTGTATTGTTTAAGCCTTCATGCACTTGTAAAGATTTCCTGGATATGTATTAATATTCTGTCATGATACCATGGAATCTTCTTGGTATCGACAAAACAAGATTATGAGTTACATCTTGTCCAATTTTACACCAACATCTGACGAAGTTTATTTTTTCTAACTTTCAAATCTGGCAGATACTATAGATTTTCTCTGGAATTTATGTCCAGAGACTGTGGTAGCATTCTCAATTGGCTGGGAACATTGTACAGCGTCTATTCTTTTATTTCATTTGCTGTGTGCTTGTAGTCATTGTCCTATTGGAAGATAAATGCATCTTTGATCCTCAGATAGTTCTTCTTGTTAAATTATGTCGCAAAATGTCGAAATATTGTTCAGCATTCATAATATTGTCAATAAAGTTCATGTTTCCAATACCATTCCATGACATGCACGCTCAAAATTGAATTAGACATTCCACCTTGATGTCTTACAGTGGGCCTCACATGGCCAGCTTGAAACGCAGCGTCAGGTTTCCACCAGACTTACTTGTAGCCATCATAATCAAATATGTTTAACTCACTTTTATCCGTTAAAAAATAATATTTTTCCAGAATTCTAGATCTTTATTAACATGAGTTTTGTGGCAAAATTAAGTCTTTTTTTGCAGTTCACCTCTGTAACAAAAGGTTTTTTCCATTGGAACCTGACATAATAATAATATTTCTGAATTATATTTCTTATAGTATGTAAACAGAATGCGGTATTTGAAGTAGATATGACCTCTTCTGCTCTCTTGGCGGCTGATAAAGTGTAATTTTGCGCAACAATTATATGGAAATTCCTTTGTGCCCTCTCATTAAATTTTGATGGCCGTTTTCAACGAGGTTTGTTTAAAACTTTCTAAGCTTTCTTATAATATTCTGAACACTGCTAAAACCAATTTCTTATTGATTAGCTATTTGTTGGTTGCTAAGCTAAGTCCATTAGAATATATTTAATGATGTGGTTTTTTAAACTGACACAATATTCACTGGTTTTACTCATGTTGTAATCTCAAATATACAGCAAAGACTAATTTTTATTATTGTCATTGTATTTTTTTTTTTTTTTATTGTCTCCCTTTCCTTGCCTTGCCTTTTAGGTTACACGGAGTTTTTCCCAGGCTGGAGAAGAGGGCAGAAGAATTATGCCGAGTTAAAATTCCCACCGAGATTTGAACCCATAATTATTTTTATACACCAAACTTCGGTTATCAGGTTGCCCAGGCAACGCAAGGTGCTGTGTACACGCCTTAGCCCGCTCGGTCACCCTGCCCTCCTATATTGCCATTCTATTATTGCCAATCCTTGTGTCAAATTTCTTGGAAGAAAAATGATTAATTTGTTTTGAATGGAGTTAATAGTAAACATTTAAAACTGTCCTCATACATATTTGACCTTCAAAATTCACTCTTTATGTTTACTTTAAACATAGTTTTTGAATTCCAAACATTTATTGTTTCTAAAATATAATTCTCAAAGGCCACTTCACTGTATAAATATTATTTTATGAAAATATCTTAATTCTATTAAGATTTGCTGAAAAATTGTAGTGTGCCAATACATTTTTGATCCACTTTATATTTGACTAGTTCTTATAGACAAAGTTAGTATGAATGTTTCATTGATTTTATAATATTTTTAGGTTGATGGTTCAACTGTGATGGGAATGGAATCTGTAGAAGCCTTAAAGAGATTTGATGCTAATCATAATATAAAGTCAACTTAAATCAAACTGACAAGATTTTTAAAAGTTCAGTACCTCTTTTGCCTCCAGAAAATGAGATAGATATAAATAAAGAAGATATTGATAAAAGAAACAACAAGGAAGAAAACGAATGCTTCATGGGTTGCTTACATTATTCAATGAAATACTGTCAATGTACAATAGTGTAGTTAACAGGTGATCATATAATCAATATAAATTGTAAATATATGTTGTATGTACTTATTTTTTTTGAAACAAGACAAAATGTTAGTTTTCATAATATACTTTGCAAGTTTTAAAATATTCTTTGTATGTAAATCAACATTGATTGTGGTTTTTGGCAGAGAAGTAGAAAAATATATTATGGTACAATGATACTTAAGAATAACATAAGTATATGAATAAAAAAAAAAATAAAAAAATCATCTCTACTTTCTTAGTCATTTAAATGAAACATCGGTTTTTGAGGTACAATTAATAAAATAATTTTTTGCAAAAAATGTGGTAAATTTACTGTACTTTATTTAAAGTTTACTTATAAAACACTTGATAGGTTATCCTTTTAAAACACTTGATAAGTTATAAACACTATAATACAATGGTTTAAAAGTTGAGCTGCAGATGTTCACTACCCACGCAAACAATTATAAAGTTCAGTTATTGCTTCCCTTACCCATCAAATAGATTGCTGGCTCATCCACACTTTTCTCTTTCCTGTTTACTTCACAAACTAGATTATCCTTGTGATATCCTAAACCAATTTTTCTCATAACACAAAACTGCTACTTCCTAGTCAAGCTATACGTTCTCCAGATCTAACACCTCTGGCAGCTACTTAAAATATATTTTAAAATTAGTTTTTGGGGTATGCATCAGATGTTTGTTGAATCTTTATCACTAAATCAGTAAGCCTACAGACTATTTTAGGCAAAATATTATAAATAATATAACATTCATACATATCCTTCTTTAGTTAAGTGGAAAAATTTAGCGTACCCTCAAAAAAAGTGAAAAAGTAAAAAATAATCTTGAATAATATCAGATTTGAACAGCAGTTCATAAGTTGCACCTTAGAAGAAGGTAAGAAGTTTTTGGATCTAAAGTTATGCCTTTCAGAATACTACTTAGCAATTTTTTAAGACAAGCAGCTAGATGTATTGGGATGAGTTGTGTTTCAGAAATATACACTTATATGAATTTAAGTACTTAATCGAATATAGTAATGAACTTAAAAACTATAAAAATTAGATGAACTAAATAGTAATTGCAGATAGACTTCATTGAGGATTCAAAGAAAATAGTAATATTGTCAAAATAGAACTATAGTTTATCCACAAGAATCTGATATGGCACAAGAACCTACTCCTCCCCTCCCCCTCTTCTAAAGATATTTCATCTGACTCATTGGGTTGTAGCACCGGTTAAGTAAGTAAATGATTTATTTATATGTTATAATCATTATCGATTTGATGATGAAATTAACTAACTTTACACACTAATGTGAAAATAATGAGTCAACAATAAAGTAAAAATAGTATACTCACTAATTGTACAACATTTTTAGATAGAAGCATAATAAATTCAAAGTAAACAAAATGTCTTAAATATAAGTATTTCATTGTTATTTTCTCGATAAAGCAATATAAACTAATGCGTCATTTTTCATAATGTAAGTCATTCATTGTATAAACAGTGGTTCATTGTGAGTCCCTCATTCCTTAGAGCTCTTTTATTTTTGCAAGTACCGATCAGAGACAGTTCCCAGCGCTAGTTGAATCATAGTCAGTCGATGTTCAACACCATAAACAGAACCATTCACTAAGTGAGTTTCTTTTAAAGCTAATGTCTATAACATGCCTGCTCTAATTCGGTTTTTAGTTGAACTTACCTTTAGAGGAGTTATAGCATCTGTAGTATTTGTATTAACATTATTCAGAAGAGTATATATAAGGATACAACCCATGAACAATATGTAAGTCTTTTTGTATTTATTCCCTTCTTTCGGAGATACCATGGTCAGACCTGATGAGAGAACAGGCTGTTCTGGAGCCCTTCGGATCATGGGCCACGAGATTTTGTTTTTTACCTTACATAGGTATAGCATTACATATGTTATAAAATACAAAGTTAATTTAATACTTGACAAAGATCCAGGAAAATTGGTCACTGGAGTCTTTGGTTTCTCATGACAACCATGATTATGGTATACTATAAAATAGTGTCAATTACTTCAAGAAGTTTTAAGAAATCTTAATTGTTAATAATTAATTAATTAATTAACAATTGTTTTATATATTGCTGACGAGTATGTAATTTTATATATCGTTTTATAACAATAAATATACATTAACCACAAGTTACATTAAATAGTTGACAAAAGATTTTGTTATTAATGTCCAAACAGTTTTAAATATTTAATGAGAGCTCGAAATAAAGGAAAAGTGCTGTAAGTCATAATCGAGTGTTCTGCTTATAGCCTATGTTGAAAATTGACTTAAACTAATTAGGAATAAATCAATTTTCTTGAAACAATATTTGAGTTCAAAAGTCTCAACTAAATGTCTGTTTTCTAAGAATAAACCCAAATATTGCAGACGGATACATCAATTAGATAAATAAACCAATTTTTAATGCAAAGAATAATATTAAAATAAAAATAATTACAGCTTTTCAATAATACAGAACTAATGAGTTTTAGTCATTAATACCAGGAGTCAATCTCTAAATGATTTGCGATAATAGTTGGTGGTTAAAACGACTCCTAGTTCTTTGTGTTAATGCCTAGTTAATAAAATCCCAAATTAGTTTTAATCATTTTCTATCTAGCAGAGGTTTCTGGAAGGACTAGGGAATTAATTGGGCAGTTTTGCATAATTTTTGTTGTAGAAAACTCTTTTATATATCAGCACTACGATGATTTTCATACGTAACATAAGAGATCGCTAAAAAATATTTTCTTAGCTAGAGAATTTCTTTTTAAATATCTTGATTCTTTTGATACATAGCGAATATATTTCATTACATTGTTCTAGTCAATTATTATTCTGCTAGAACTGTAATAATTTTTATCTGAAAATTCAGTCAATTTAGATTTAACTCCTACTTTTCACTTGTCTGGGTCTCGGACCTATTTCTTTTTATTCTTACTATGCATATTTCCCTTTTACTTACTTTAGTTATTTTGCCAAAGCCAACTTCAGCTTCCCATAACACTTTGTTCCCACTTATTTTCCTTGGATGGTCATACATTTTTTAAACTTTAGTTTATTTTTTAGGGATAACACCATTCCAGGCTCAAGGTTAAATCCTGTATCTTCCTCCAGGTAAATTCCCTTCTTATATTGTAACTTTAAACATTGGATCCACATCATTTAAACAATACTTTATTCCTTAAACTTATGTTCTTGATTCATTATTCTCTTGTTTAAAATAACACTGTTTTGATTACTTTTCATATTGATATAATATAAACATATCTTATGAATATTCTTTATAAGTGGATATAATAACTAAATCTGCATGACATCCTCATAATAATTTCACAATTTTCGTAAATTCAATAAAAACTATAAAATACAATAACCTTAACTTAGACTAATTATATTCTTATGTGGTTTAGCACAAGCTACAGGGCTATTGGAAATAACCCATCTCAAAATATGACCACAACTCCTTTGGCGATAGAGAATGTCCAGGATACTGCTTCAGTAAGTATACATTTGATTGAATAATTATTACATTAAAAATGTTGTTGTTGTTTTTAGAACATGTTTGAGAATATTTATTTATTAATACATAACATAACAATAAAAAAAAAAACCTGTACCACTTCAACCCATGAAGGGTCTTGGGTTCAGTAATATTTAGGGAAAGTGCCGTTTCTTAGTCAACGGTTGTGCAAGTGACCTCCTTGGTAGTTGAGCTTGATCTCAGTCAAATTGGTAATTTGATCCCGGCTCAAATATCTCATGTAATTTGATCTGGCTTGATCTCAGTCAAATTATCAATTTGACTGAGATCAAGCTCAACAGCCAGGTTTTCTCCCTTAATTAATTATTTGATTGAGGGTACCCACTCTATAAAGGTGTACCCCAGGAGGGATTCCTGATCCCAGGGTCACCTCATGACTGATGAAATAGAATAAATAATTTTTCTGCCATGAGCCGGGATTCGAACCCAGGACCTCGAGCATTGGAAGATCAGTCCCCTACCACTGAGCTACCCCACTCCATTAATATAACTATAACTATTTAATATTATATTAATATAATAATTACTAATATATCCAATAGAATATTAATATATCCAAAATATTGTATTTTTAAAATTAATTGTTTCCTATATCTGATTTTAGGCACATGAAAGTATTGAAAAAAATGAAAATGCACTGAGAAATGAGGGACAGATGGATACTCATGATGAAAGTTTTCACCAAGTCGCTGGCAATGCAAATGAAAACCAATCAAGGAATGCTCCAAACAGTTCAATAATTGTGGTAAATACCAATGATGAAAATGTACAACCAGAAAATCCAAACAATGCTGATGAAATGATTGTAGCAGCTTTGGCTTTTGTTCTGGAGTGTTGCGATATGTGTGTAATACTCTAGAAAAACAACAAAAATATAATATTAATTAATAACAAGTATTACCTTTCAACATATTTTACCTTGCTTAAAATTAATAATAAATGTTTTTTATTTATCAAACCCAAAACAAATTCATATCAATGATTAAAGTTTTACTTATGTTTAACCTGATAATGTAAATGATTTATATTTTTCAAATTACTGATTACTGTTAATATTTATGTTTAATGAAGAAATAAACTTTTTTTTTTTAAATTGGTGGTCATTGGCTTGATTATATATTATATTGGATTAATTATAAATTATTATATATAAATTAATGGTGTTCTAGAATTAAAACATTAGAGCTGAAAGTAGAAAGGTAAAGACATATTATTCATAAAAGAATAAGTAATTTATTATCAAAGAGATTAAAACAAATATAGCTTTTATAGTATTATTGATATTGCATTCATCATTAAAAAAATATATAAAAGGGATTCAAAGGAGGTTTAGTCAGAACAGCTAACATTACATTAAAAAGATAGATTTTTTAGTGTACTGATATGGCAAGTTTGCATGGTGTACTGAGCTGGGGTAACCCGTGGGGTTGCTGCTCCCCAACTGTCTCCATGCAACAGACACTCTTTGCGGGATATATATATATATATATATATATATATATATATATGTATAATGTACGATATTTATTTACAAGTAAATTATCGAAAAAAAATTATTAAAATGCACCACAGATGCCTTTCACAGAATCCGTTAGCATTTCTTGATTCAGAATATAATTTGTGTTTCAAGACAAAACATTTTTATTTATCAGCTTTATTAATTCAGCAAATAATGAAAATAGTTTATAAGCAGAAAATGAAATTAATGAGTCCCAAATACCCCTCCAATTGTTCCACGACTATTAAGGGGTTTTGAGAATAATAGTACTAGCAAAGCATTCTAAACAGAACATACCCCACTTTCTAAAACTAAAGAAAATTTTCAATTTTCATCTTTATTTAAACATAACATAATTAATTCGTATGAATACGCATTAAAAAAAACAGTGTACTGCACAAGGTGATAGTGCATACTACAAAAAGATCTAGTAGTTTCTGATAAATAAAGAAAACAAACAACATAGTTTATAAAACAAGACCGAACCCTACTGTACCAACAAAAAGACATCTGCCGAAGCTATTATCTAGAAATAATAAAAACATTTACATTTAAATTATATTTGTACCAGTCCGCAGCGAAAATGAAAAGTTAAAATACATTGATTATAAGCAGAAAATAAAATTAATGAGTCCCAAATATCCCTTCAATTGTTCTATCACTATAAAGGGGTTTTGAGATTCTAAATAGAACATACATTATAATACAATATAAATACACGTTATAATACAAAAACGAGGCATCATACAATACAAATTACAATAACGAGGCAAGCAATAGTACTCATATGGCTCCTGTTGTTTTTATTGGTGATTCAACGAAGTTCTCCAACTCACTCATAAGTGTGCCTACCATATTTCTGAATAACTTTATAATTTAAAAATTATAACAAATATTGTGAAAAAAATAATACATATTTATCAGAAATAGATTTTTAAATTTAAGTAATTTTTCAGGCTGAATTCAATTATTGTAGTTTTTGGCAAATATTAATATTTTCAATTAAAACAATTTATACTTATCGAAATTGTGAAATAAAATATAATAATAACACAATGATATTCCCTTATTGAGTTAATTATTTTAATATAAAGAATTATTTTTTAAAAATATGTAATGAGAAAAATTGTGTGTAATGAGTAGAGTTGGTAGCTGGAGGCTAAAAATCCTGAAATCTGCCTAACCACTCACATTGAAATAATAAATTTATTACAAAATAAAAATAATTTAATTTGTTAATACTAAATTTTTAACGAATTGATGAAAAATAAAATATCAATTGAAATATACTCAATAATAAAAATTAAATCTCAATAAAATTGCATATTTATTTTATGTATTAGAATTTAATTGATTTATTGTTCAAATACTAACCAGATTTGACGAAAAAAAAATAAAATAAAATCAATTTAAAAAAAAATCATAATGGAATTTTTTCACAGTTTAGTCTGTTATAAAGTGAAAAATAAGCAACATAATTGTAAGAGGAGGCAGCTGTAGTATATATATATAAATAAATACCATGAACATGCTACATGCAAAAAATCTGCCCACAATGGAAATAAAAAAGATTAACAACACTAAAAATAAATATATATAGTACTCACAGGACAGTTTTTTTTTTGTCATCGGCAGTTCATTGAAGTTCCTCAAACCCCTCTTGACAAGTACCAAACTAATCCTATTTCTGAATAATCTTAAATTTCATTGAGCATTTAAAAATAGTGAAATATACTTTAAAATTATAAACAGTAATTATATTAATATTTTCTATCAAAAAATAATTGAACTTTCGGTGTATCTCATATGTAAGTAAATAATTAGAAAGAAGACTAAGGCCAACAGATAATAGTATAATGATATATAAGTATTAACGTATAATAAATTTATTTTATTTAATTATTTATTTAATATTCTGTAAGAAATTTTTTTGTGTAATGAGAGGGGTTTGTCGCTGCAGTCTGGAGATCCTGAAATTTGATATCACCTCTCACACTTTAGTGTGAAATAGTATTAGTAATAATATAGTAAATAATTACTGTTTAATTATTTGACAAACGGATGACAAATAAATTAATTCAATCATTTTCCAAATACTGACCAAACACGGTCATTAAAACTAAATAAATTGATGATTTGATAAAATCTGAATGAATTTTATTTAAAATATGGTAATTTTTAAATATTACAATTTTGAAAGTTAATCTAATGAATAGTGAGAGGTAATAGCAACGTAGAACATATCAAAATAAACAACACTACACATCTACTGCACAACATGCACCAAGAACTTAGGGAAAGGAAAGTTGAGGTGGCTGACCCTCTCCCCGATTATGACATAGAAAAATAAATAGCAACAAATATAATCCCGATTTTCTGGAAAACTGATGGAAAGTAACAGGTGGATTTTGTATTTCAACAATTTAAAAGAAACTAAATTACAAAAAAAAAAAAAATGACTCCCTTCGCTTGAAATAAATTAATTTTAAAAACTTCCACCCTCCCAACCCCCTCTTCCATTTTGAGGCTAATTTTTTTTTAGTTGACTAAGTTCTTGCCTACTATGTACATGCATTAAACACTACCAATTACCAGGTTTGTAAAGATAGAACAGAAATTTGGCTCTAGTTGTTAACATAGTTACTGTTTAACAACATTATTGGAGCAATTTTATTTCTTTGTCCGCTAGCAAAGATTTTCAATTCGCAGCAATAGATGTTTCATATAACAGCACAGCTTTAATAGTGTTGAACATGACGAGTTTTGTGTCTATAACTACGATTTTCGGGCAGCATTAGTTTTCTGTTAGAATTTAAATAAAGCTGCTGCCGAGTCATATCGAATGCTTGTTTAAGGCTTACGGAGAGCATCTTCTTGGTTAATCACAGTGATTTCAGTGGCTTAGAAAATTCACAAGTCTCAATTGCTTTGGAAGAAGAAGAAAAGGCTTTGTGTTTGGTGGGATCATAAGGGTGTGATCTATTATGAGCTGGTGAAACCATTTATACTGAATGCTATCAACAACAAATGATTAATTTGAATTGAGTATTTTATGAAAAAGATCAGAATATCATAAAAGACAGCACAGAATGATTTTGCTAAATGATAATGAACAGTCACATAGAAAATTGCTTTCTCCAACTCTCTTCATCGTCGTTCTCGACAGCGTCATGAGAGCCATGCTTGGGGGTCACAGCTGTTCAGTGATCTTCAGGACAAGCTAGAAGCATTAAGCCGAATCGCCAATTGAGTTGGACTGTGGATTAACGTCGATAAAACAAAGGAAATCAGAGTAAATCAGTGATGTCAAAATCCACTTGTTCTGGTGGGTTCTTCTAAAGTGGGTGGAATCATTCGTCTACTTGGGAAGGGTAATCACCAAAGAAAGGGGCTCGTTGGAAGATGCTAAAAACTGAATCAAAAAATCAAATGTGGCTTTGTTGAAGTTAACTCAATATAGAAGAACATGAAAAAATAAAAATAAGGCTGTTTAATACCAATGTGAAATTGGACCTGCTCTGCGGCAGTGAAACATAGAAGGTGACTGAAAATGTTATCCGATCCCTACAGACCTTCATCAACCGCTGCTTGCGAAGAATCCTAGGGACCTGGTGGCCTGAGAGGATACCTAACGAAAAGCTCTGGAGTACAACAGAGCTTACTATCTACATTGAAATAAGGAAAAAAACAAATTGAAATGGATAGGACACACTTTGAGGAAAACAGATTGAGAAAGAAGCTTTGCAATGGAATCCACAAGGAACAAGAAGAAGAGGAATGCTGAGAAAGTTATGGCATAGATCTGTTCAAAATGATCTGAGGCGAACTAGCAAGGCTTGACTAGAAGCAAAAATGATTGCTGCAAAAAGAGCGGAATGGAACGCACTTGTAAATTCCCTACGCTCCAATAGGAGTCATCAGTCAGTCACTCAAACATTTTCATGCAACTTGTATTTTCTATAAAAAACTTCAGTTTCATATTTACATACCTGGTAATAAAAAAAACATGCGCTTTCCAAAAGTGGGCAGATACTATGGACCATCTCAAACATATTTTTTTTATTTGGACTATCTAAAAATTAAGGATTCTATATAATTTATCTTTTGTGAATTTAGCTCAAGGCTGTTGTAATTATTTTAGTTAACTTAATTCTGTTTGAGTAAAGGCCCATAAGTACTTGTTAAGAAAAAGTCCTACCTCTTTTCTGCTTGAAGTTGATCCTGTGTCCTGTAGATCTATGAAGAAAGCAACCATCCAACAGGCCTCTCTGTATGTTTCTTGGCTCTGTAATACCAAAAAGTATTATAATAAAACAATTACAATTAAACATATACAATTTAACTTATATAGACACATTTAAAAAGAGGCCAACACCTATGGATGATTCTTTTTAAACATTTGATTGAATTTTAAATTATTTTTAGATGATCCTAAGAAATGTTTCTAAGATTTGAAAATGAAGGCCTGAAAAGTCATCAGATGTAAAACAAGAAGACAAAAAAGTGTAATAAAGTTTTGTGAATTATAATGGGTTTTGAAGTTTCCTCGAAATATTAATTTCTTCTAGAAAAAAGAAAAACTTAAAAAAAAAATTGTTATATCTGCCTACAATTGTATAAAACCAAAGTATTTAATATATGAAACAAAAACTTTGATAATTTACAAAAAATTTCCTGTTAAATTTCCTAATTTACCAAATTTTGGATAATGTATTTTCCTGACAATTTTTTATTTTTTGAAATTTTATGATTTTCAAGTAATAAAAAGATTTGACGAATAAATGAAAATGTTTAACAAAGCAGAAAATAAATTATGAAAACCATAATATTTTTTAAACAATTCACTGGCTATAATTTTATTTATACAAATAATTTAAATATAAATAAGAAAAAATATAGCATTACAATTCATGGAAAGTCTTGAGTTTATTAATGTGTTAGTATAGTTTCTTGGTCAACGGTGCAAGGAGGTGATCAACAGATATCATCCTCAACAACCAAATTGTTCTCCTTAATTAATCATTATTTAAGAGTACTCACATTATAGAGGCAGGGTTTGTCCAGGGATTCCTGGACCACAAGTTCATTCGACGACTGGCATAAAAGAATAAATAATTACTTGCAACAGCCAGGCTTGAAACTGGGACATGGAGCATTGGAGTGCAGTGCTTTACTCACTAAGCTATTCTGCTTCCTCTTTTTCAGAAAAAAAAAAAACCTAAACAAAAAATTCTGTTAGGATTGTAAATCTGTAAACTTTAGAACTCGAAACTAAAACATCCTGAATAATGATTTTAATTTTTTTTATCTACACAAATCGGAACATATTGTGTGTGTGTGTGTGTGTGTAAGAATCCATATAATCCCATAGTCTCTTGGATACTACCTAGTATCGGGTTTTTTGAGTTGACATTTGATTAAATGCAAATAAAATGCTAAGATAAAATTTGGTTTTTTATTATTGTACTGAAAGTTAACGATAATAAACTTATATATAATATCGAAATGTCATCAACTTTTGGTAGTTTGATAATGAGCAGATTTGTACAAAACATAGCAATGACCTAATAAATGGAAAAAATTTAAGGGCAATTCATTTTCTTAAAAAAAACGTATTTATAAATACATATACACGGTATTTTTAAGGAAATGAATTGCCCTTAGAATGTTTCCATTTATTTAGATCATTACAACATTTCATGCAAATTCATTCATTTATAGATGTATGATTAAATATTTAAAATCAAATATTAATTTATCAATATTAAAAGCAAGGCATTCTTACCATTAAGATTGTAGTCCTAACTATATTTAGTAAAATTAAACAACTAACATCATTAATATGAAATCTTAAACTGTAATTAGATAATACTGGAGCAGAGCAGTGAAATCTACAAAAGAATATTGTAGCCTACAATTTAAATTGCCTCCAAACCTAATGAAATGCTGCCACAATAAAGTTACATTTTGATTAATTTTTCTACTCAAACATTATAACAATAACAGTCCTAAAGAATAAATTACATTTAACATTATTTTACCTATAAAAAAGTATCATATTTCTGATTATTTTAAGATCAAAAAAATTGAATACAAACCTTTGGTGTAACGAATTTCGAAAAGGGATTACTTTTTTCAATACGGCAACATAAAAAAAAAAAATTATATAAATAATTTCATATTTAATTTGAATATATTTAAAAATTGTGAGTATTATAATGAACTGTATTATCTTTATTTATTTATTCTATAAAAAAAAAATTATCTTACAGAGGCACTAAAAAATTAAAATTAAGGCACTTTCATCAAAACAACGTTTCAGAAATATGAAAATGCCAATTTTTTTTTTTCCAAAAAAATGCAGCAGTTCTTTTCTGAGCTTATAAAATATTTAGTTTATAATTATTTTAAATTAATAATCTAATTATTTTTATTGAAACATTAAAATTAAATTTTAATAATTATTTGAAATATTCGTCACATTTTACTAAAGAGATATATTGGACATTATTTTCTTATTATACCTATCTAAATAGTAACATTTACTCAATTTCAAATTACAAAACAGTTTATTATAATAAGTATTATCACCAAATTGATTAGGTCAAAGAATTTGTATTAGCATTTTCTTTATTTTGGACAATTTAATTGATATCATGTCATCGAATGACATATCAACAAAATCTAATTCATCAATATTAAAGAAGAAAGAATGTCGATGTCGCATGATCCTCCCCTTTCCCCTCTTCAAGATGTTACATTGCTCTCCTTCTTGAAAACCTTAAAAATAAAATTACTGTAGGTCATATACAATCTGAGATTTATAAGAGAGGGAATATGCTGAGATTTATTCTATATATTCCCTTTGTTTCCTGATTTGAAACTTTTCAATCAGAAGTTTCATAATCCCATCGAAATGTACTTCCCTCAAAAACCTCGTTAAAATGTTACTCCCTCAAAAATTTAGATGGCACAATCTGCGCCATAAAATCCCCTTCTGGGCTCCTCTGTATTTATGTAAGATAATACTTATTAGATTTCGTACACTTTAATATTTTTAATTTCTCTTTTGTATGTGAAGTGGGGACAATAAGCAGTTAAAACTTTTAGAATAGTTCAGGAAGAACTATAGTTCACTATAAGTAAGACCAGACTTCAGTTCCTTTCACTAGCAGATCCAGGATTTAATTTTGGGGGGGGGGGGGCTTCAGCCCGAAAGTCCCCCCGTAGATCCGCCCGTGGTTCCTTTTCTTGAACTAGTTCGTTCACGAACCACCAGTCAAGCAATACTATTCTTTGACAAGACACTTGTTATATTTGGGAAGGTTACTGAAACTAAGAAGGTTAATACCAAAATATTTTTAAGAACCGAATCCCTGGAAGATTACATTTACTAATTTTATGTCTAAGTACATATTTTGGATTTTGAATGATGAATATTTTGTTTTAAAGTCAATTTCGTTTATAAAACATTTAAAATGCCACAACTGAATGTCATGGAAGTGGAACCAGATAAACTTTTTGAACAATATTCTGTTACAGAAGTTGAATCTGTTTTACAGTCAGTTAACAATGAGATTGAAAGGAAGAAAGTTGAGCTTAGAACGCTTGTTGGGTAATTTAATTTTCTTTAGTGTTATTTTGAATTTGACTTTCACAAATAATAGAATGTTATTAAATTGAATTCTGTTTTTATCAGAGTATAAATGTAGATGAATAAATTTACGTTTTTCTGTTAAAAATTCTCCTTTCTACATTAGTTTTGTACATCTCTATGTAATTGTTATCTAATTCACTTTGTTTCTCTAATTAATTAATTATCACTTCAGCTTGTTCTAACATGAAGCATTTCTGTGCTTATCTTCGATTTTGATATCAATAGCTTATGCATAGTTTAAATTTCTCAGATAATTTAAGTTTGCCCTCACTCTTGCCAGTTTCCTCTCTCATGATCTATAAACAGATTTTTTGTCCAGTAATTCATAATTCATTTGAAAATCAACATATAGAATCTTGGTTGTTCGAGTATCTGCTTATAATGATGTTATGTTTTAGTATTTTTCTTTTTCTGCATAGTACTACTTGCTGACAATATTCGGTATAACTTATTTTAATGATAAGCTCCAGACCTCGGTACCTTCATATGTGGATCTTCAGTGTATGATATTTTTAATTTCTTTTCTAGGCTTTTAGAGTCTATTATTTTACCTTGTATTGTAGGGTTTGATTCTAGTAGTTTTCTTTAAGAGCTTCTCCTTTTCAGCAGCACTGATGATAAGTAATGTATCCTACTTATGGCTCTTTCTGCAGCCAGCTCTGGCTTAACCTCACGTGGTTAAGGTTTTCCATATAATGGATGTAACTGTTGTTTGATTTAGGATTAAGTTCTATATTTTATTATTATTGAAAGTATATTTTCTGTACTAGTTCATAAGAGTTCTGCACAGATTAAGCGAGGTTCAAAATCACTTCTGTCACAATTGTTCATGAAATGCCGAAAACATTCAAATGTTGCTGAATGTTATGACATCAACTCTTGTCTCAACCACACATTCCCCTTTGATGCATTTTTTAAATAAAACCCTTACTCCCATCGTAGAACTTCCTTATTAAGGAATCATTTATTTACAAATTACTAGTTCAAATTTTTTTATACTTCTATTTATTTTACACGATTGCATTTTAAAAATGATTTTATACTTTTAATTATTTAATTATTTTGTACAAATTATTTTGCTTAATAATACTACTGACCATTTGTAGTCAGTAGGTTACTTAATGTAGCCTAAATGTCAGATATAAGATGGCTCACCCTGTATAAATGTACATGGTTAAGGGTATAACATTACTTTAATGGCTGGAAAGCTGTCGGTAACTAACTGAAGAGATGGGTCACCTTCGTACTCTTTTGGATCAACCCGGATGCATTCAGCATTTCATGACCAAGTGTGTCCGAAGTGATTATGAACCACTCGTAATCCATGCTGAACGCTCAGTACCATATTTTCTATCATAATTTCTGTTTATAAAATAATTGATAAAGTCCTTATATTTCATTACTAGAGAAAGATATCGAGATCTGATAGAAACAGCTGATACTATTGGCGAAATGAAGTCAATATCTGAACAATTTATCAAGGAAGTACAAGTTCTTACTACTGACATGGGCAGCCTTAAGTTCAAGCAAGGACCATCTTACAAGCCTGATTCAATTAAACAAAAGAAAAAGTGAGTTGATACTAACTTTTATTTAGTTAGATACTGATCTGTATATTGTTGGTTTATTGCAAATAGTAAATACATTTGATGGAGTTGAACTTAAAAGAATGTTTTTGTGAATTTTAACCTTATTTATTGATATAAAAAAACAGTAAGTGCACTAAAACCCTTTTTTCATATCAAACATAGTTACAAGTGCACACTTTTCTGATTTTAAAGAAAATTCTTTGTGATTTAACGTTATGTAATGTCACTTAATGACTTTGTCCAGTAAACTGACAATATGTTCCATTGGCAATAGGAAAAAAAAAACTATTTGCTAAATATTTAAAATCAAAGTACTGTAGGAAAAATTATCAAAAATTTACTTTTCAATCTTAATAAACTGACTATTAACATCTTTTCATTTAGTTGCTGTTTGTGAAATAATGATTATACATTCTCATTTTAATCCTTTATCTTGAATTTGATTTTTATTGTATTTAGTGATTAGACAAAGCAAGCATTTCAGCAATAGTATTCTCCTGTTATTTATTAATAATCTTAAATTTAGATCTGTCGCTTATTCAATGACTGATACCATTGCTGCCCAGCTTAGTATTCTTGTGGATTTACCAGAAATGATTTGGAGTTCTATAGGTTCAAAAGATTATATTAGAGCTGCTCAATTATATCTACTTGGCAGACACATCAAAACAGGTTAAAACAAATTTAAAATATTATTATTCATTTTACGTCATATTTTTCATTGCTATTTCAGTAAAATGAAGTTCCATTTTCTGGAAATTTTATTTTAAAATCCTTTATTCTTTATTAAATCATCTTTAAAATATATAATTTTTTTTTTTTTATTTCAGGATTTTCTGTTGATCGAGACCTATCAGCATATGTTAATAGGTTACCTATTCTGGATCTCCAATGGAATGCTTTATCACATTTTCCAAAAACAATTTTGAATGCTGCTGAAAATGATTTAAAGTCTCTTGACATTTCATCAGAGGTAATTTGAAGAAACTAACATGCTTATTTAATAGGCTGTATAATAAAAAAAAAAAAAATGGCCATTTCATCAAGTGCTTGAATCTCAAGAACTGTAAACATGTTAATCCTATTTATTGTTTACCAACAATTTATTATCTTTTTAGAACACTAATCTAAGCTTATTAATCAATAATGGAATGGCCCGATAAAGAGTTTGTTCAAAAGTTTTTATTGAAAAACTAACATGACGGTGACCTATGAAATTCTCATTATTATAAGTCATTATTGGAAAAAATAGGTGATAGAATGGGTCATTATAATGTTTTTATTAGTGCCGACGTTTTAACCCAAAGATGTGGGTCATCATCAGGGCATGTTTCGAGCACTGAAGGTATTCAAGTACCGGTGTAGACCTAGAGACGCCAAATCCATCCACAGCACTTAAATACCTTCAGTGCTCGAAAGACGCCCCACTTGTTTGGATTGAAATGTTGGCACTAATAAAAACTTTATAATGACTGCGAATATTTATCATCCATGATATGTAGAACAGTCGACTAACTTTCTTCAATATTGGAAAAAATCTTGTTCATCTGCTGAAGCGGCTTGTGAAATCAACAAAACTGAAGGAGAAGGTATTCTTGACGAGTGAACTGCGTGGCGTTGGTTTAAAAAAATTTCTAGTGGAGAGGCTTCCTTGAAAAGGAAGAAGAGCTCAGGGTGGCCATCATTCGAGATTGATGAGGTTCTGTAACATGCTGCAGAATCAAATCCATCCACAAGTACTCGTGATCTTGCCAAGGAGTGTGGAGTGTCAAAAGATATGAAAGGAGCAGTAGACTGGTACTGTAAGAGCTTCTGTCCCAACAAGCTGTTAGGTGGGTGGAGATTTGATTTTTAAAAAATCCCTCCGATTTGTGATTTTACAACATGATTTTAACAAGAGTAATCCATCATGATTTTATTCCTGTAGGTTAGACATTAAACTCGGACCTCTATTGGGAACAGTTCGAATGTACTCAAAACTGCCGCAACGTTATCCAACTTTGCTCTACATCTATTTCTATTTCAGTACGACAATGCCTGGCTGCATACGTCTAAAAAACTTACTGCATACCGAGGAAAACTTTTAATTTTAAAAAATCTTGATGCAAGCGACTGGCCGAAAAATGGAAAAGGACAGAGCACCACAATGGGTTATATTTTGAATATTAATTTTATGTTACATTTAAGAAAATATATTAATTTTTTGTTGAAAAATGGTCTTTTTTTTCTATACAGGCTATTATGTTATTCGGTTTACCCAATTAATCTCTGAATTTTTTTTAGGTTTGATTAATTAGAACATCTTATTCTTTAAATTTTGTGTGTTGTACATTTTATATATGTGCTTTTCAATTTGTAGATAATCCGATGTTTTAATGGAATATTAACAGATGGTTATTATTCCTTGACAAGTCTAGGATCCTCTTCCTGATATTGATACTATGTAATTGATTTTTCTATGGTCGAAGTTTGACACCCTCTTTCCCAGAGGTTCTGGATAAAGGATGTTCAACTATTTTTTTCTATTGCCTTTGCTTATGATCAACTGATCTTATACAATTTTAAGTAAATAAAATGGTTACAGGCAGCTAGTGTCGCATTGTGTGCTATGGCATTATTAGACAGCAAGGAGCTGACTGGAAAGTTTTTGTCATTACGTCTTGAAACTGTTGAAATTACTCTTCAAACTGACAAAAATGTTAAAACTAGGATTCTTGATTGCTACAATGCAGTGGTGAAGTCATTAGCCATATTATGGGATTGTTTTGCAAGTAATACATTTTTATTTTGGAACATATAACACAGTTTTACAATGGAAATATGTTTTCACATTTTATCGATGATCCATTTAGTATTGTTTGTACTGATTTCAGGTAAAACAAAATGAAAAAAATTCCTCACCTATATTCTATGTTTAAACTATGTTTTTTAATTTTGAAACTATACGACATTAAATTATTTAAATGTTAACCATAAAAAAATATTTCCAGCTTTGTCTTTATCAAAGCTTGAATTGATGATATTGATGTTTGTACTGGGTTGAAATTTGACACCATCCTTCCCAGAGCAGAGGTTCTGGGTAAAAGATGTTCGACTACTTTTTCCGATTATGTTTGCTTATGATCAACTCATCTTATACAATGTTAAGTAAATAAAATGATTACAGAGAGCCAAGTCATAATTTGGAGAGAACCAAAGCCACCTATTTTTTTAATTCTTGGTATTTCAAAGGTTTCAACTTAAGAAATAAATAGAAGATTTCATTTCTCAAGATATCTTCAGCTGTTTTACCCGTTCTTCATGAACTTAATTTATTAATACTTTGCCTTCCTGATATACATTGTAAAAGGCTATAGATGGCACAGATCCATTGTCAGATGGCAGTAGTTGTGATAACAATGACTGTTATGAACCATACTCCAATGAGCATTAACTTTTCACTAAGTAAGAATTAAACAATTTAGTAAGAGACCTAGGCCTTCGAAAGTAGTCATGGTAGATTATTTTTATAGTGCTACTTTAGAAAAAAATATTTTGTAACTTTTTCTGTTATGAGGTTACCTACTTTGTCTTTTCCCCAATATTTATGGAGTCAAATTTTATTTATTTATTATGCAGTTGGCTAATAGTAAAATTAAAACAAACTTCTTTTGAAATTGTGTTTTTATTTATTAAACTCAAAAGACGTACCTCACATGTGAGACGAACCTTCATGGTAGGAAAATAATCCATGTCATTTCTGAAATCAGCACCAAAAAAATATAAAATTAGTCAACACAACTGAAACAACTATTTAAAAAAAATTGTAGAACTGTGTTAATATATGGTAAACTTTTTTTTTTTATTGGTCAATAATTTACATTATGTTTTATACTTTATTGATTTATTTTCAATATTTTTTTCAGTTGATAACTTTGGAAAACAATTATTTTGGAAGAAGTTACCTAAAATAGCTGATAGTAAAAGTCGACCTGTTATTAAGTTATTAGAGAAAGGAGTCAGGCTTAAATATCTCCCTCCAATTATACTCCAGTTCAGGTTTGTCTTTTCAAATATAATAAACCTTAGGGTTATCTTCTATCTTTTAAGGATTTTGGATTGTAAGGATTGGATACAAGAGGAATTCAATGGCTTAGTGGAGCCCCATAGCTCAACTCCGTAAGTCCAAATAGGCCTTATTATAGTCATGTATATGAGTCTTTTGTAATTAATTGGAAGTTTAGAGTGTTTGTCTAGTAAGTGCTGAAGTAATCGGAAACGTCGAGCGGTTTCTTGTCGTTTCAGTCTGGTATGAGTCTTTCCTGATATGAAGTGAGGAAGTGATGATTTATGTATTAATTAACTCATGATGATTACTTTGGTAATTACGCAATATACTGTTTCTTATAAAAACAACAAAAAATTCCTCTCTATTCAGCCATTATTTATGAACCTCTTTGTGACGACTTGCATTCCGTCATTTATTTTGCTCTCAGTTATCTATTGTCAGGCTTATGATATTTCACTCTTTCTGATTTTATTATGTTTTAGAAGATGATTTATTTTTCAAGAAACCATCTTGCAAATTCTATTTTATTTAAGTTTTATTTTATTTGTATTATGAACAATCTTAGTTAAGTAAAAACCAGTGTAAGTGTGGAGTGAAGAATATTAAATCATTTAACCATATCAACTTTTTTTCTCCATCGGCAACTGCTTATATTTTCTTTTTTTTTTAAACAGAAAGACTCTTATACATACATTTAGCACTTATAGTGAATAGATACTGAACTATATTAAAATTAATTATATCCAATCCAAAGTGAAAAGAAAAAATGTAAACAAACTAAATTTAGACAACTGAAGATTTGGAAGGGGCATTTTCTCCTCCAAATAAATAGGATTATTAACAGTGGCTTATGAATTACAAGACGATTAATCGCTTCAGGTAAAAAAATCATTTTGAATTACCAAGGGGGACCAAAATGCAGTTTATTTCAAATTAGTGGAATTTACGATTTAACGTGAATTATTGAGATTCTTGTTAAATAAGTGATGACATCACGAACTCACTGTGGTGGGAATGAGATTTGGTTTATTAATCCTGAAAATGAATTACATTGAAACAAAGTCATTTCAGTTACTAGTAATGTGTTTTAGTAATGATCCTATTAGCTTATACAAGTTCGCAAAAGCTTACTAGCCTGTTTTAACAGAGAATAGGATTGTGCATAATCGGCTTCAATAAGACCGCAGTGCATTTATGTTATAATAATAGTAATAATAATAATAAAAGGCTTAGCAAACCCGAAGGTTCGATGCCGACACCACCATTCGCTTATTACACCCCTCCCTCCACCGTTCGCCGTCCAAACCTAGTCCCTTCAGATAGGCTTTAATGCAATCTTCCCACCTTCACTTTGGTCTACCCCTCAGATGTTTACCATTGGGAACAGCAAATATTAACCTTTTAGGAAAAAAAAAAAATTACTATTTTAAATTACTATATTAAAAAAAAAATTACTATTTCTTTTTTTTATTTAAACAATAACTGATACCCACTTGACACAACCATTAACTTTTCTGTTTGTTTACACCATTGCTTGTCTATTTTTAAATTAATAGTCTAATCATGCTCATTAACCTATCACTTCTCTCTTTACATTAAATGCTTAACTTTGAAAATACTTCTCTGAGTTTTCTTGTGTAAAGGATAGATTCCAAAATTCAATTATTTTTTATAATGAAGAAAAATAACTGAACTTATAAAAATAGTTATATTATTCTTGGATATCAAAGCCTGGATTGTCATCACTTGGCAACTACATAAGTACCTATGTTTTGAATATTGTCACCGGAGTTGTTAATTTTTTTTTTCAAATAATATTGATGTACTTAAGAAAACCTTAGGTTGTTTTCTTTTATTTTATGGAATATTCATAGGACCTAGCAATGTCAGACAAAAGTATACTTCAGTTCGTTTCACATCTAAGTATAAATTTGTTAATATTGCTGCTCTTATTAATGCTTTTATAATATTAGCCATTTTTACTAATTTCACTAAAAAAACAAAACAGTGTTATTGTTATTTATTTTACTTGTCTGTTTCATTTATTTATTTATTTATTTTTTTAGATCATCATCACTTTATTCAGCAAAATTATTCAGTTCAATTGATCTTCCTACGAAAATTAGTGAATGGCTCACAACTGTTAAGAACTTAGTTTCAAAAAAGGGGAAAGAACTTTTAAACAATGTTGTGTCACTTCGCTCAATAGAACCTTTAACTAATATACAAATAGTAAGTTTATCATATATTCCCTACTATCATATTAGATATCATTTTCAATAATTGTTTGTCATATAATAGACCTCTTCCATTTAGACAAATTATAGGGAGTGGGATCAATTGTTAACCCTATTCAAAATTGATAATAAATTTGAACTTTGGAATGGTATTTTCAAACCTCTGATATCGTCTAGAGCCAAAGAACTGATATCAATACATTGTAATGAAGGTTTTGATCAAATTGTTAATTCTTTGGAGAAGGCATTCATAGAAACTGACCCGTATGTATTATTTAACTCTTAAATTCAGTCAATATGTTTTTTTTTATAATAGATTTATGGAAATAATTTGTTTTATAAAAATGATTTTATTTGTTTCTTTAAAGTTTCAAACCTGATGACGATCTCCGATGGTTTTTATGGGAAGACTGTCTTGAAGATCTAGAAATTGATAGTGTCACTAATGTCAGAGGTTAGTTTGCTAATTAAATAATGCAGTCATTGTAGAATGATCCGAACATTGTGGTCTAATCTTTAATGTTTATTTGCTGAACAATCTTATTTTAGTCTTGAAGCATATTCTTTTATTATTCTTTTAAATAAATATCTCTGATAAAATCATCAAATACTGGCTAGATTTGAAGATTAAATTGTAATAAGTTAACAATTTACTGTTACCTGATCACGCGCATATGTAAGCTCAGCCTAAATTAAATCTGTCTGTAAATTATTTGCATACGTAACTCTTTGCTAAATTTAATTATTAGTTTATTTAATATGAAAAAAAAAATGTAATCATGTCTGATCCTGAAAATTGGAGTCTAGATTAGAGATGCTATATTGTATAAGTATGTTGGCTTTTAACTACTGTTTATAAATAATTTTTTTCATATATTTTGTACTAATATGGTATACAACAATTTCCATTAAAGGATTAAAATGAAAGTTATAGGGTTTCCTTTCAACTAATATCTCACAATTTACTTTTTTTATGTTTGTAATAATTAGATAAATTAATTTTCTATTGTAGGATTACTGTTGAAAGCAAAAGGAATAACTCCAAAAGTGTCAAATATTTGCAGAGAATTTGAAAATAATTTATTAACTTTGCACGATGATGTATCAGGACTTTATACAACTGATGTTACTCAGTTGTCAGATAATAATGAATTGAAAATTCATCAGCAAAATGTTTATTTGAAGTTATTACTAAGGTATGATTAAAGGTTATCTTATTGTAAGTTTTATAGTAAGCAATAAAAACCACATCACTCCATCTCCATTAAAACCTTGCAACTTCAGTCTTAAAACTGTATGTATTAAGATAGATTTAAAACTACATTGATATCTCTAATCTGTAAATCACTAAAGCTTACAACATTTAGCTTTAAACACATATTTCTTTCTCTTGTAAAATTTTCCAAAATACAGTTATGATATTTTCTTTGTTTAGCATTGTTATGATAAATTTAAAGTTTTATTTTTATCAATAAGCTCAAATTTATATTATTTTCCAGAATTTAAAAAAAATTAAATATACATATATTGAAATAGAAACATTTTGAAAAATCATCTATTGGGTAATGAATCAAGGGAAAAAAAAGTGTTTATGAACGAGCTGTTGGACACATTAAGCATTGCAGAATTTCATTTGTTTTCATAACAAGTTGTAATATATCAAAATATTTTTCTGTATGTTTGGTGCGGTGTTCTTCAACATTTATGTTCTACTTAAATGTATTAATTAAATATATTTGTTTTCAACCTTTCAAAATGTTTCAATTAAGCACTTTTAATAATTTTCCAATGAGAAGTATTATTGAAAAACCAAAGCAAAGGTGAGAGGATTACATTAAGGCTCATCTTGTGGAGTTGGGATGGGATGGTGGTATGTAGGATTTATATATATGGATGTATATACAGCAATTGGCCTTATTGGCATATAACCTTTGAACTTTAAATCTTTTTTCTTTTATTCTAAAAAAATATTCCTTTACCTTACAAATATTATTTTAACTGTTTAGTTGAAAAACCTTCCAGCTTATACATAAATATTCAACTGTATATCTGTATATGACTATTTAAACAATGTTAAATAAATGTCATATATGGTTTTAATGTATAAATCATAATTATGTTAGCATATTATTGCAAGTTTTTATTTTATTTAATGTTTGCCATTCAGGTTGAAGGAACATATCCGTGAGTTGTCTCACAAGGAATCGATTTCAGAGGGTGAACTATCTATTGTGGCCAGGTTCTTACTAGCAGTTCCCGAACTCTGTCATACTCTGCAGAAATTTTTGACTGTTTCGGCTGACAGTAAGGTCATTATTAATTTCATCATTGCTATTGTAGTTCATATAAAAAATAAATTAAAAAAAAATTAATAATAATAAATAAAAAACTAACAATCTTTATATATTGTTAACACAGTCAACACCTTGGGAAGATGCGAAGGTGTTGTTTGAAACTGAGGGACTTTATGTCTGGTCTTGCTGGGAAGCGAAAGCAGCTCAGAGGCTTGAAGCAGTTATTCCTGTCCATCTTCGAAAACCAACTACTTATGCAGATTTACTTAACATTATACCAGTAAGTATATATTCTTATTATCTGTGATTAGTAAGAAAAAAGAGGTGGACTAACATTGCATTAGTTTGTCACTTGTACTTTTTCCTTATCTTCCAATTATATTTCAAGAAAATTTAGAAATGTATGCACAATTTTCCCGGTGATGTAAAAAATGTTAGTATCAAATGAGTACTGTTTGAGTTTGCTCTCGGTCAACCTTTTTATCTTTTTATTCAGTAATGATTTGCGCGAATATTATTTTTTGTGCAACAGTGTTTTCATAAAAAGAAATAATCTGTTTCATGGCAGTCTTCTGAATTGCTTTTTCTTTAAATTGCAGTTTACAATTTAGTATAGATTGAGCCACATAATATATTTTTTTCAGGGGTTGATACTTTTATGAAGCTTTGTTTAAATAAAATTTTTAAAATAAAATCCTAAAGATTTTTTTATATTGAAGTTTATATGAAAGATTTCAACTTTTAGTTATTTATATTACTAACAATGAAAATCACATTAAATGTTGGTTTGATTGTCACATTGGCTCTGGGGAAATGTGCAGTAAAAATAACATCCATCTCAATTAATTTTAAAAAATGTCTATTAGTTTTAACCAAGTACCAAAATCATGCACTGTTATGACAATGAGATAGTTCTTGAGAATTTTTTTTTATTATATATCATAGATAGCTACTACTGAAATAAATTGTTGTTGAAGATGGGCCAGGAACTCGAAAAATCAGACTAGGGGATCATAAATAAATAATTATCAATTTGAAGTGATGCCTTCAATTATATATAAAAACTTATGTAAAATTACCATTTTTTAAATATATTTTTTGGGGGAATGAATTGCTTCAACAAAACTTTTAAACAAAGGTTTTTAAAATGAAATTTCTATTAATACTGTAATACTTCTATTAATAATCATGAAGAAAAGTTCTTGTTTCAGAAAAAAAAAAAAAATAATAAAAAAATAAGAAAAACTATTGAAAATAAAAATTCAAGTTGTGTCGGAACTGATTAAAAATAAAAATTAACTTTATATTTCAAGCCTCGATTTTTTTGATGATTTTATACATTTTTATTAACTGATATTAATAAATTATGGTTTTTATTTTGTAGCAGTGGGACATAGTTTGGATAGAAGAAGGGAAAGAAGATGATGAAAGACGTAAATCTCAATTGCGAGTGCCTTCAAGTCCTAGCTTTCCTCTACAGGCAGTACTTCACTATTTTTCTACTGAACTGGCTAAAGCTCACCTTCCAAGGTGATTTGATTATGAAATAATTACTAAGTTTTTTTTTTTATTACATAACTAATAGAAATATTATTATGTTTAGATAATACATAAAATACATTAGATACATAAAACAATAAGATGAATGCGTTCATTTAAAAATTTGTGGTTAACTCAGGTTACACATGCGAAGAATATTGGTATTTCCGAATTTTTTTTTTCCTACTTTTTATGGAGGATGTGCTATGTATGAAAATTTAAATTTAAGGAAAATAAATCAGGCAAAATTCATTTAAATCGCTAAAGCTGAATTATACTTTCTTCTCTCTCTAGAGCTAACAGCGATATGGTCCTATTAAATAACTTATTTACAAAATTTGGAATGACATGGCGGATGGTAATGTAGTTTCGAGACATGGAGTGACCTCTAGTTTTGGTACCAAATCATAAAACAATTGGTCTAGTAATCTAAGAGAACAGCTGTGGTTGATAGGACTAATTATTTTGAAATTAAAATTCTGGATTCTATGAATCTTAAAATGTAAAACCTCAAATTCTGAGAGGGATAAACTTTTTTTTTTTCGTTTATTTAAAATTTAATCGTGGATTCAAAATTGAATAATTGTTCATTTATCTGCTCTTAAATTTTTAATTAGGTATAAAATACCATTTATAACACCGCTTTTTAATTTATTTTTCCCTGTTTCAGGATTGTAAGTGAAAATTTGATGCATAAATTAATGCCGAAATTAATAAATGCTTACGACACTAGTTCTCCTTTGTGCCAAGCTGAATCTCTTCAGAATCTGTTTGATGTGAAATATTTGCTGGCTCAGTTTATACCTATTGCTAACAAGGTATTTGTATAAATATATGTATCTTTTTTCTTCATTTATAAAATAAGATAATTTTTTTTTTTAAATATTAAGTTTTCCAAATCAGCAAAGAATTCGGTTTAAGACTTTTTCCATAGATAGACTATTGCTATAATTTTAATGCTATACTTATTGATCAATAACCCTCTAATTAACAGTTAACTTATTTAGTAGCAAGTGTTTGGCAAAATTCATTGTCCATTTGGATTTATCTCCCCAACTAAATTGATCCTTAGTGAGTGGGAATCTCTTCCATAAATTGTCGATAATGTGTTTAGAAATGAACAAAAGTAATATTTACCAATACAATACTTCGGTAAACATTTTATCTCTAATGTTTTTGAAGCGAAAACTTCTTTAATTAATATATCTCAGAAATTAAAAATCGGATCTGCATACTGTAAGTGAAGGAAATTTTCAGCATTCCATTCTTTTTGTAACAAACTATTATTAAAAATTGTATATTGATGTGACACCAAGTTAGAGAGTCGGAAATGATACAAATGGTGATCAGCCAGAGCAAAGTTTACCAGAGTAATTTATACACAATTATAATTATATATTGTAAGGTCACGTTCCCTTTGAAAAGTAAACAAACAGTTTCTGAATCAAATTCTATTTATTTTACACAATAATTATTTCTCAGGTTGGGTTGAGACAACTAATGCACATCCACAATTGTACAATATAAAAGCATACATTAATTTTATTTAACATTTATGAATTTCCATTGTTTGTCGGGGTCTACTCTTGGCTCACTATTTAAATTTCACTCACCTTGTTCTGCAGTGAATCTTCTTACAATCTTCTTTCCATCTTATTCTTCCTTTGTTGGCACTCACTACTTGTTAACTCACATTTTCTTCTCTCGATCCTCTTAACTAGCCGGCTGGTTACCTTCTGACCTCTATGGCACATGCTTCCGCTTCCATCTGTCTTTGTACATTTTTGACAGTAGTTAGTGAAGTCACTGCCTTTGCGCCACTATTCAAAATCACTATGTAATATTTACATTGCAATATATTGTGAATGTATTATACAATTTATAATACATTAGAATATATTCAATTTTTTTTTTATGTTACTTTGTGAATAAAGAACAAAAAATATTTTATACGGAATTATAATTGTATATATTGTAAATGTTATTAATTTGTCAATGGAAAAAAAAATTCATAATATTAATTTATCTAACCCACCTAATTGATGTTTACCTAATTGATGTTTTCACTTCTATCGTGTTGTCTTAAGCACACACCATAGTTTATTTATCTCACACTTTTTTTTTACTAACTTTTTATGTTTTTAAAATATTTATTTAGTCAAAAATGATTTTTTCCTTTTCATTTCTATATTGAATTTATATTAAATTTACTTCTATTCAATCATGCAAAAAAATAAAAATAAATAAATAAATTTATGATAATGTTTGTGATAAAATACAATATAACATGTTCAAATGTAATTTAATCACGATAAAGAACTTGAGCCATATGCAGATAAAGAATTCTGGTTCTTGTATGGTGATTGACCAGTAAACAAATTAAAGAAATGTATACCTTGTCTTCATACCTAAAATGTAGAATTCTTTAATTGTGGCTTGATGTTACAGGATTGAAATTTATTTTTACAAAAAAAGACATCTTCCTGTATATTTAATTTATTTTTCACTTTTGCGCAATTGGTTTCGGTCTTTTAGCAGACCTTCATCAGGCCAACTGATGGTGGTCCTCCTTTCCTGCTTGTCAAATGAGGACTCTGTCAACTGAGGAAACCGGTTGCGCAAAAGTGAAAAATAAATGGAATATACAGGAAGACGTATTTTTTTTCTAAAATTAAAAATATAGAATTGCAAAAGTCGGTTCCGATTGTATTACTCTGAACTTAAACCTACATGCCTGTAAAGTTTTATAAGAAAAAATTGATTAGTTTTAAAAATCCAGATGGGTTTAGAAATATAGACCAACCTAAAGCATCTTGTTTCTTTTATTATGACATTTTTACCTCCTTTGTCTGAGGCATATTTCTGAGGATACATTTGTATTAATAATAAATTATTTGAAATTGTTTGTAACAAAGGGTATTTTGTTTTTTTTAAATGTTGATATAAGCTATTCTTTTCAGGATCTATCAGCTCAGTGCCAAGGAAAGATATCTAATATTGAAAGTAATATAGATCCATTTGATTTAGATGTTTTTGCACCGTATATTGCATCTAATATAAAATTGAGTGTTTGCCGAACTCAGGTATTAATGCATTTTATTCTGTTTATATTTTTTATTTATTTATTTTTTGTCTAAAATAATGAAAAATTTAATTTATAAAATAATTCTCCTATTTAATAGTATCTGATGGGTTGATATTTAAATATAAGGCCTGACATTCATCTCTACATGTAATCTTGTTAATAAGAATTTGTGTTAATCTATTAGAAAATTTCCAAATACCTAAAAAGAAAATAATTTTTGGAACTTTTTGTTGCATAATATTTCTTGGTAATTTCCTCTTTGATAAGCAAAATCTTCCTCTATCTAACTGTGTCCTGTATTGGTTCAAAGCCTTCATCTCAGGTCTCAACAATATCTAAGACTCTTTTTCTCTCTTGTGGTGTAACTCAGGGTTCCTCCCTATCTCCTACTCTGTTTGCTATTTACATTAATGAACTCCCCTTCTGATCCATCACTGCCAATACCACAGCTATGCAGATAATTTCCAAATATATCTGTCCTCTCCGCCTTGTGATCTATTACCGGCCACAAAAAAACTTCAATAAGGCTTAAATACAATCTGTCACTTTGCAGAAGCTAATAAGTTTAAGTTAAATGAGGAGAAGATTAAGACATTTCTAATAGGCTCCAATTGCTTTCTTAAAACTGCTCCTAATATTTCTACCCTGTTCCTACATGACAATCCTATAAAATTTTATCCTGCCATCAAAAACCACTTTGACTATTAATGGGGCATCTCTGGGGATCTCAAGGCAAAACTAGAACGTTTGATAAATTGCCTTGGTATCCCAAGGGATGCTTCCGTTTCTTGTTTTTTTAAAGACTTGAAGTTGGTTTATTCTTCCTACCATTGTAAGTATTTCCTAGTATATTTTCTCTTTCTAGTTATCCAATCTCAGCATCCATCACACCGAGCTCCTTCAATTGAAATCCTCTATTCATTCCCCCAATTACTATTCCTAGTCTTCAGATTTATATACCAGGGCCCACTGAACTGCTGCTTTCGACAGATCATTCATTATTCGATCCTCAACCCCATGGAACTCCTCCATCCCTTCCCATATCCGCCGTTACTAATACTCTCCCCATCTTTAAATCCCATCTGTTCAATCACTTCCTATCCATTCATTCTCTGTAAATTTTAAATAGAAGTCTCTGTAAATATGTATATAAATTATTGCTTCGTTTACAATTATTTTTATTTCAAGTTTCTTTAATTTTTTTTCTTATTCGATTAAAGCTAGAAGGTAACCTATATATTTTTTATTATTTTTATTTGTTTATTTTATGATTAATATGTTGTTTATTTTATATGTTTATTGTATGTTGTTCTAAATGGAATTGTCCCAGAATAAATAAAGTATATTATTATTATAATCTAAATATTTAATATTAAAAAAAAATTGTTTTTCTTAATTTACTCTTTTTAGCTATCTACAAAATTTTCAAATGAAATAAATAATACGTTCCTAGTTAATTAAGTAGTAAAACTATCTTTTGGAGGAATTAAATATTATTAGGGCTTAAAGAATATAATGTTTTGTTGATTTATTGATAAAAACTGTCAAATGTTATTATTTTTTGTTTAAATAATTGTCCAACTAAGTTAAGTTAACCCTTTAATTTATTTACAGATGTATAGTCAACATTAAATCTATTTTATAATAATTGATAAGTTGGAAACTAATTGAGTGTTAAAAACTGCACTTTTTTTATTAAAAATCTTGTTAATTGTTATTGTTTTTAGTTACTGTTTGGAAACTACTGTACAGTGCGCCCTGAAGACTCTAGTGCAGCGTCTAATCTTAAGATGCCTGAGGATCCTAGCACCCTGGCTTTAAGCAAATCATCTGCCTGGTTTCCTCTCATTCCAGTAACTAATCCAGTCAGTAAGCCACTGCATCTTGTCAAACCAAAGGTTGGTTTTATTTGCAAATTTATTTTGATCGACTCATTTATTTATTTATGATCAGAATACGTCATATAAAGGTGTTTACAGTTATCTCTTATCCAGCATTCTGTCTGCTGAAAGGCCAGACCTGTATGAAGGTGCTCAAGTGTTTCAGAAAACTCACTTGTCTACTGTTATTGTCTTTTTTAAATCTGCTGTGGCATCCCTCTTCTCTTATTTTTTAGAGACTTATCGTGAACTTATCAGTTACATACTCTGTAGTAGTTTACTTTTCTAATACTATTTCATTTTCAAATCTCTAAGTATTTAATGGTATCTCTAAGTATCTCTGGTTACAGTATTTAAAAAAAAGCATGAACTTTATATTTGTCAGAGTGTCACACAAACATAGGACAAGGTTTGTTTTTATCAACCATGCTTCTGTCTATCCTGAAAATAAATATCTGTAATCTCCTCCAATTCAAGTCTTTGTCCTCTTTCTTATCACACGATCTTGACCTTCTGACTTATATTCTCTACTAACAATTTCTGTAATTTTCTTCTTCATAAAATCGGTCATGTCCCTTTCTTATTCAAATTTAAAACACTTTTTTAAAAAAAAATGAATATCAAAAAATAATTTTTATCACTTTTCATAGTGCTACTGTTTCTATGTTTATTATTAGATTCCCTTTCTTTTTATGTTACTTTATTTATTTTTGTCATTTAAAATTTCATTTTCGGTAATAACAACTTTTCATATTGTTTAATTTTCAATTTAAGTTTTTGAACAGACTTTTTTTTGCTGCTTACTTTTCTTATTATATGATTATGTGTATTTTATAAAAACAGCGGATGTAAAAAATTTTTTTTTTTGTAATGTTTAAAAGTTTTACATTTTATAATATTCTTTTTGCTTTTCTTTTTAATGTTTAGCAAATTATTAAATTAAAAATTATACTTATTTTTGTTGATGGGAAATGTTTGCCTTAATATTACATTATATGTATATTATATATAATTAATATTTACATTATATATAATTAATAGGTACATTATATATGTTTGCATTAATATTACAGACTGTCAAATCATCAAGGCAGAGCTCTGCTGTGGTCGAGGCTGCAGCTGAAACCAGTAAGGCAACAAGCACATCGTTCTTAAGTGACTGGTTTGGATAAAGGCTTCAAAGTGGTGCATTGCTTATTTTATTTTTGTTTGTAAATAATATAAATTTTATATATTTATTGAAATTAAAATGAATGATTTTTTTAAACATTGTGTTTGAATCCCACATCTCACTTTACCCCTACACCCATCGTGTTTGAATCCACACATCACACCCATCTCACTTTGTTATATGCTTTGATAATTTTTCATTAATAAAAAAACTTGATTCATGTCTTGCAAATGAAATGATTACACTAACTTTTTCTTTTTACATAAAATGTCTTTTCTTTTTGCTTATAATTGATTTTTTGGTGTGAATTATGAATTGAATTTGGTGTTATTTTTGTGTTGGAGTTAGTTTTTGTGACATTAATAATTTATAACTTGAATATTTCAGTTAATCACTATGTAATATTAAAATTTATTCATATTTGTTTTTTTTAATGAAGAAGTTTGTGTATTTGGATAACATCCATCACTGTGGTATCATGGATAACATAATGAATTGAGTTGCAAATTACGAATTTGTCAAAGTGTGCTCTTTTAGTTGGTATAAACTTGTCTTATTGTGCCATTCAATTTCTTAGTTCTCTTCTTTTGGATAGCAGGCTGAAGTTTGAGCATAAATAAATTCTTTGAAGGACGTTTTGATGATATAACTACTATGAAAATTTCCTAGATCTGATAAATAGTTGATTTTTATCCTGATATTTCAAAAAAATCTCCCAGCAATTAAAAATGATAACCTCAAAAACTCATTTGAATAGTTTTTTAGTCCATCTTTAAATAGTGTACATCAATAGCTCTAATATTTGATGTTATAAGTATTTTGGAAAATTAAAGTAATTAATTTGTTAAAAAATTAATATTGTTTAATCATGAACCAAATAACATAATAAATAATTTTCAATAACGAGATTTTCCATGGGAGTGGAAAATAAAGTTTTTAAGAGGTCATGGATAACATTATTGTTGATGGTATGAGCCTACAGAGAAGAAGGTAGGCGGGGATGTCCTTTTTCTTCCCCTAATTTATTTGAAACAAAATAAAACATAATGTAATACAAAAGATTCCTGAAAATGTAAGGGAAATAATTTTTAGAAATTATTTTATGTATATATATTGTTTCATCTAAAAATATTTGTAAATTTTAATTACAGTAAACTACTTAATTTATCTACCTGAGATTTTCCTTTATGCATTCTTGTCCCCGCTTTAATTAAAGAATGCAACCAATTTGCATCGGTTGCTCAGATACAGACTTCTGGGCGCAGACAGAACACAAGTACACGAAGCTACCTCTATAAATTGGTCCAACCTTTTAAACTTCATTAGAAGAACAAAAAGGTTTGAGACAGAGCTTGAGAAGATAATAGACGACCATTGGTAGTATTGTCTTTTGGGTTGGCAAAAAAGACCAATAGGCCCACCTTCCAGACTAAGTCTCCTTACCAGTATCTCTCCCCTTTAATATGAACGCTTCGTACGCCCTTGGTTAATGGAGCACAGGAATGACTATTACTGAAATATCAGGAGCAAGCAGTTATTGACATATAGATATAGCAAGCTTGACATTCTCAGGCATATCTCGATAGCTATCAAGAATGTATAATTTTGTTTTCATTTGTGCTTTATTATTACTTAATTTTTATTCGTAGTAACGTATTTAATCTAAAGCAGTACGATCATACTGTTTTTACCATTATGTAATGATTTTTTAATTTTATTCTAAAGGAACTTCTTCCCAGAATAATTAAGAAATCTTTCATTTTATTTAAACAATGTTTATTCAACACACGATTGATGAAAATTCATACTTAATTATGAGTTTGTTGAAGGAACTATTTACTTAATAATAATTAGCTTACTAAACTTGAAAACATCTCTTCAGTAGAGTAAAAGATGCAGCTTTCCATAAACATATACTACCCCAGTATTGTACTTGTTGAGACCTATTGGGTTGGTGCAAAAGAGCACAATCCTTAGTTTGTAGGAAATATTAGCAAAAAAAATTAAAACTGTTTTTTTGTAAAATTATCTAAATGTTTTTTCTGCATTATTCAAGGTGCCAAAGGGATCTCAGGAGATTCCCTTTTAACAAACAGCAATATTTAAATTTTTAAAAACCTAAACAACTTATGATAAGTATCCCCGGACACATAGGATTTTAGGGCTTTAAAACTCAGAGCTCGGTAAGTTGCTGGATCTATACCATCATATGTCAGAATCTATAAAACAAAACTTGTGTGATCATGATTTGTTGACACGTTCTATCTAAGTGTTGGAGTCTCCCAATTGTTTTAATGACTTTTATTGTAGTTTTAGTTATGTTGTAAGCTTTTGAAATTGGCACCTCTTGATTCTCTATGAAATTCCCTTTTATTTGGTAGCTCATTCATCTAATTCCATCACTCCTGAGAGCTGGAAGAGGCAAATATACTACCATATTATTTATTGTATAGATATTATTTTTTTACTTGATGTATTTATGTAATACAGTTGTAAATGTCATAAAGAAATAAAAAAAAAAAAAAAAAAAAAAAAAAAAGAATATTTTATTTTTAATATATATTTATTTTCATATGAATAAGTAAACTGTTTTTTTTATAACCAATTTAAATCTTGCTTAATCTTAAGGGGATAAAGAAGATCAAATGATAAAGGAAAGAGCCACAGTTAACTACTAAAAAGATAAACCGCAAAATAAATAAATCTATCCTTTCTTCTTCCTTCTCTCTCTCAGTATATGTATTATTAATTTTATGTGAAATATCTAATTTAATGATATATGAATTAATCCTTAACTTAAATCGATAATTGAACTTTGGTCTGCATTGATATATTTACTTATTGTGGTGTTATTGTAATTGGACTGAATGATGTTTGATTGCTGTGATAACATAAAAGTGCTTTTTATTAGTAATAGAACTTTAAACAACACACTTGTTTAAAATTTTATATTTTTATTTACCTCTATAAATAAAACACAATAGCCTTAAACCAAAACTTTTTAATACAAATATATATAAATTGATGAGATGATAAAGTGAAAATGATTAGAAACATTGGTCTGGAAAGATTAGGGTTTATATTAATCCCCATATTTAAGAGGGAGAAAGAGAAAAAAATAAATAAATAGGAAAAAATCATTTCTGCCAATTTCTATGTGTTTTCCTGAAGACTTCTATACCTGTTTTTTTTTTATTTGGGTACTTTAGATCCTTTGAATGGATGCCGCTTTGAATTTAAAAATCGCTCCTTAGAAAAATCCTGCAACTTTTGAATTCTGGTAAATGTCTTATTTTCAAATTGAAATTATTGAGAATTATTAAAGGATTCAAACTATTAAAGTTATGAAATTAATATTTGTAATGAACTATAATTATTATATGAAAAATGAATGAATTTCAATAGATTTTTATTCATCATGTTTAGCCTGATTAAATGTTTAATATATGTTTTGATTTACACTTTTCAATAATTGTTAGGATGCAGCGTGAAGAAGTGAGCCTGTGGTTCAATACTATTGAACAAAATGCCATATCAGGAATCCAGGAGGTCCAATTAGGAAGTTCCTAATTCTCTTCAATACCAGTAATTACTATTCTTAATTTTTTTCCCCTAATATCCTTTCCTAAAAATAATCAACTTTCATCTTAGTTCTGCCTTTTTACAGGAATTTTACCTATCTGGATGCACAAGTTGGAAACTTGTCCAATTAATGAAAAAATGGCAAAGATTTCTTATACAATGTTGAAATAAAAAAATTATAAATAATCTGAGGAATATTGTTAAAGATAATTCATTTTGTTGAGTGTATACACAGAAAATTGTTCAACAAGATAACAATTGTATTGTTGCCACAATAATCCAGAAGATTATTGCATTAATTATATAGAAACTGTTTTTTGAATTATTTATCATGAGTTAAAGATAATTCTGAATTGAAAACTTGTACATAATTGTGTACATACCTACTTGATGATTATTAAGATTTATAAAATAATCAGTTTATTGTTTTAAGTAATTTCATACGGAGATTTTGAAATCAAAGATCTTCAAACTAAAATTCATATATTGACTTTCATGTTCTACTTGTTAATTGATTTGAGTATTTCACTCAGTCAGTGTAAATGAAATGTGAATTAAAAATGTTTCTTCTGATTTGAATGGACCAGGTCCAAGCAACTTCACCAACCACCTCCTTCATATTCATCATCTTGAACTTACTGAAATGAAATGAAAGTATTTATTTGTTGAATATCCCAAGATTAAACTATGTCGAAAAGTCCTAATGTAACATCATTATATTATATAGTATTAATTGATGCCGTGAAAGTGGTGGATTCTTGGATTTGCTTGCTCCTGGTCTTTAGAATTGAAGAAACAGCTTTACATTGTGTTTACACTTGATGTAAATGTAAATAAATTTTTGTATTTCAATTTTGGTCCTGTAGTTTTGAACAGTGAACTCCATCCTTCCTCTCCTCCTCCAATTCTCGTTCAAATTGTTAAATTGAATAAATGTTTATACTTTTCTCAGACAAATTAGGGAATATATAAAGACAGTTTTCCAAATTAAAAAAACAAAACAAAGAACTGTAGTTCGAAATCTATTAGGTTTGCTGAGCTTATTCTGCATCGAATTGTAATAAATTTAATCTAGTTTAAAAATCAATGTACAATCAGTGTTCAGTTGTGCCATCACCTGACACACACACTTCCACAATATAAAAAAACAAAAACAAAAAACATGTATATATTATATTTATATATATATATATATACATTGTTTTATATATATATATATATATATATATATTGTTTTTTTTTATATATATATATATATATATATATATATATATTTATATATAATTTTAAACCTAACTATTTAATTGGGAATAAGGTCACTTACTAATTATTTAACAAACTATTGAATGTTTATTTTCTCTATGTTTATTGATGTTTCGATCGCGGTATTTTCTTTTTATAATTCAACGATGGGATCCT